ACTCCAGGTACACGAATATCCGCGATAATTGTGATACGTTTATAGAAGCGATTACGTAAGTTTCACGAGGGTGGGTTTGATATTTGGCGTTGTTTCGGCCGATAAAACAACGATGCAAATGATTTCGAGTCTCGCGCGCCAAATAATTGCTTTCACGCCTTGTACTTGTATCCCATGCTTGCGCCATATTCTAGCTTCGGCCGACTCAGTCGGTAATGCATCCGTTCGTCTTTGCAACGATCCTTTTTCGTATCCTCGAAATGTTTGAAAGTAAATGTAGATATGACAAAAAGAATCAGATTTTGAACAATATGGTGTATTAATATGTACATTCAAGTATATACAAGTATTTTAGTCTGTGTAATTTTTATTAAGTATATGTATATTTATGTCCGGGTGTTATTTCATATTTATAGGTTATCCACAAATTATGTCATGATGTACGACAAGGCAAGTGCAAAGTAACAAGACAGTTATTAAGCTTTTTAGTATATATACTAATATTTTATAGTATAAATGGTTTTTTAATAGAATATAAAGATTTTGTAGGTAATTATATTTAAACATATATTTGTATTTCAATTTGTGTAATTTTTATTTTATTAACATGAATATTAATTTATAATGCAGAAATATGATTTTATAAATTTTGGAGAATGTATAAATAATATAATTAAAATATTCTGCTATTAAATATTTACTCAATTAATTTTCTGTTTTGATATAAAATATCAAATTATATTTTTTTTTAAATGGTAACGACAAAAGTAACAATATTATTTCCCTTTTTTTTTAAATCATAATTTTTCTGACAAAATTTTAATATCCACATGTTTTAAAAATTACACGAATTAAAATGCTAAAAATTACACAGAATTGAATACTGATATATTTAATCCTCGGAATAGGTATGATTGAATAATAATCTTACAAAATCCACATTTTAAACATTTACATTTTTCGTTATGCTTAATCTCTTGTCATTTTACATATTGAATAAACTTATTTTCAGTCTGTGTTATATTCCAAAACTATCATTACCAACTATCATTCTACAAGTATTAATCTTCGTAATCCTAAATCATTTTTGATCCCGTCTGGTGTTAAACCATAATCGGATTAAGTCAATTTAGATCTACTAATAGATATAGATGATCTTCTACGTACTTCATTATCCACATTCCGAGGATTGATACACACGAAGCAAGGACTTCTGATAGATTCCTCTGTGCTCGCCATGCATATTATATTCTCCGCACGCTGTGATGACTCTTTTCGATCAAATATCGACTACCTATACATAACATCAACGCATAATATATCCTTCGCTTGTTTAAATATTAACAAATAACAATGCTCGATCGTTCCCCATTCGATCCAACGAGTATCGCATTTATCTCTCGTACTCGTTTGAATCGTTTCGCATAAAGCACGGCCCGTAAGCTTTGAATATCCTTCCCTTCCTCAAGGGGATGGAAGCACGAATCCTTTGTGTGTGATGTACGCGTGTGCCGTCCGTTCGATCGGCGATCACGGGAGGTTGTCTCGATTCCGCGATTTGCGTTCGTCGACTCGAGACTTTGTCGAGAACCGATCGTCGTTGATGAAGAACGATCGACGACGGTCCGTTTCGCGTCTTTGCTATGACGCGCTGGAAGAGTGCATATAAAGGGAATTTACATTAAGGGCAAGATGACGAATTGCTTGAAATTTCATGCTAGTAATTTCTAAAAAGAAGATTCTATTATATACGTTCGTTTATTAATATAAAAAAAATTAAAATATGGAAATTAAGAAGATCTATAAATGATAGAATGTATACAATGATTTTATAATATTCTCTCCCTATAAATCTTTATTTCACGTTTCTATTATCACATTCTAAACACTGACAAATCTTCTAGGCACCACATACACGCACACAAACACAAAGATTATAAATCTAATACACGTCATATCTCTGTGACACGCCTAAATTAATCTTAAATTAATATTATAGATGATTACACACTGTTCTTTCCTATTATCGTCATCTTAATATACCCGACCAAGTTCTAATTGTTTCTAAAACGAGAAGAAATCGCGAACACTTCTATCATGATAGAAAAATCGTGCACTTTTGCCAAGCGAATTAGCAAGGAATGAATTCGGGGAGAAACGCGACGTGCACCGGATCAGCTGGGTACATTGGTTTTTGTTTGGTTTTCCGGATGGTTGGATAGGTGGTGGCGGGGTGCCGCCGGCCAAGCCGCTTCGCAGCTA